ACTTCATAGTAAGGAGAAAAACTGAAGAAAGGGTGGAGTAGAAGAACACAGGTGTACAAAAGCTGAGCAGAATACATAAACAAAAAAAACCCCCACCAAACAGCAAAACTTGTACTTTTGTCAAGGCACATGCCAATTAGACCAGACAGATAGGCTTAAGAGGTGCAAGACTTTAAGAGATTTCTCACAGAGATCGAACAACACTCAGTCCCAAATACTAAATTCTATTCTCCAGCCAGCACTAATCCATTCTATAAAAGGATGTATCAGTGCCATCTTCAGAAGTTGTCTTGTTCTCCACCAAGTTCATTACCTGAGAACTCCTATGGTTGCTAGCAGTGGTACTTTCCTCAATGCTCCTCTTGAGTTACAGACACAACATCTAGTACCTTATGAAGAGACCTGGACCTCTTACTCCAATAAGAGCATTCCAAACCTTGCAATAGGAAAAAGAATAAAACAATGATTATATTGAATAGATCCTTCAATTTCTAAGATCTGTGAATTAGTTTTCTGCATTCACTGTCAGAGCAGGATTAATACCATGGCAAAGAATCTGTAAACCTGGTTTTAGCAAGAGTATCCTTTCCCAAAGAATTAATAACACCAAGAGGATCTGAGTTGCATGTTCAGTAAAAAGTTGTGTTCCAGAAAATTTCCTTTAAAAAAAAAAAAAGAGGCAGGACTGATGACTTACATGAACAAGGTTTCTTTTTAGACTTGCATCAATACCATGAGATTAGAAGTGCTGAGGCTTACCTGGCCAGAGGGGAAAAAAACCAGGCTTGATTTAGAAACAAGCATAGGCCTTCTCTTTTCCTCAGCATAGATGAAACTATCATATTCAGTGTCTATCACTGTTTTCTAAGGTAAGAACATCACCAGTTAGGCAGCTCTTCAAAAACACAGGGAACACCTTAATTTGTGCATTCCCTCTAATGAATCGTGACATCACATCTGAGAGACTAAACCTGAGTCAAAATTCCCATCCCAGATGAAGATAAAGGCATTTCCAAATTCTGTCTCCACAACCCTAGTACACCAAAGCAGATGGAGCAAAACCAGCCGCCCAGCTCTCCCACTAGCATTCCTCCCATGGGGATGACAAAGTAGTATCACTGCTTTCTCAGCAGCTGCTCATTCTCTGCAATGGGACAACGTACAGTTAATACAAAGATTAATGAAGTTGAGGCAAAAGCCAGAATCACCTAAATGCTTTGTAAAGCCTTCTTGAGTACAGAGCTTGAGTGTTTCTGCTTGAAGCTCCTGAAGGTGAACCCATCTCAACAGCAGTCGTTTAAAGAGAGCAGCCTGCTCTCACAGAGTCAATCAGGTACAACCCCAGACCAAAGATCAGTTAAAAGCTGTTGAAAAACCACATGTTCAGATCAACACCGTATGTTTCCTGATGAACCTTCTTCCCCCTGCAAACTAAAAACCTTTGCTGTTTGAGGAAGATACTGAATTCTCACCAACATTTCCAATGGACCAAAAAAAGAAAAAAAAAAAAAAAAAAAAGCTCTTTTGGGCAAACAGGGATGTTTACCAGACATCCTTAAAAAAAATTCTCAAGTATTACTTTACGCAGAGCTGTCCTATCACATTCAGTGTTTCATTTCTGGCACCTATCACTATAAAGATTAATGCTTGTCACCTCTTCCAACCTAACCAAGACAGACAGCTGCTCTAGAAATAGTTACAGCAGTTACTGCTGCTCACCTGCAAGCTACTAAACGCTTTCCCCCACAACCAACTCACATCAAACAAACAGCACTGTCACCTCACTCCAGTACAAAAAAAAAAATAATCTGACAATTCTGAACTGCCCCTGCAGAAGGCCGAGTCCTTGCTTCTAAAAGATATTGGAGACCAGAAGTCACCACAGCGTTAACGAAGGAGAACGGGAAGTCCCAATTTAGGGGCACTGGCTAAACAATCACCAATGTGGACTTACGCACACTGTCCTATACACACCTGCAAAAGCTCATCTTTCTACACCCTCAACTCTTCCGAAGGCGATGTCTGAACTGCTAATTCTTTGACAGGCTCACCAGGACACTTAAAATTACAATTTATCAGCTATCTTGTTCCAGATTCTTTTGAAGCCAGCTGGTTTTACACTCGACTGCATGAATTGACAGTAACCTATTTTCCCTTCACAATAACATGGGCAGCCATTCTTCACCTTCCATACCTTCTCTTTACATCACACATATACCCTGTTTTGTCTCCTGCATTACCATGCCTTCTCTGCATTAGCTCTGCACTGTTTGCCAATATACAAGCCCTTAGCCTTTTACTGAAAGTATTTTAGCCATAATTCCAACTACCTTAGAAATACGCAAGTTACTGAGAGCTGAATCCAACCGTTGTTCAGTTTATGCCCGTTTCATACCCATGTTGAAGGCACTGTGGTAAAACAGCACCCATTCAATGAGACAGAGAACTGAACAGCATGAAGCAAATTATTCCTATCCGTAGCAGTTTTTTGGTTTTCAGGCTTCAAGGAGTTAGCATAGCTTGTGCTCTAGTGAAATAACCTTTAAAGCTTAAAATCCTTTATTGATGGTGGATTCTTTTTCTCATTCCGTTGTCCTAGTGCTAATTTGTTTCATTTATCTCTAAGACAGTTGTCTTAGCCTAGTTTTCACGTATAAAACTACACACAAACCAGGGAAAGAAACTGAATATAGATTTTTTTTGGACACCTATAAACACAGCAAGAAAAAAAGCTGAATTCCAACTTCTACAAAGGACTTGCCGACTGAAGATTTCTTCTGAATCACTAGCCAAATCAGATGGACCTATGGTATCTGCTTCAGATAACAACGCCTGTAAAATACTATTTTTTGTAACAATGAAGGATTTGAAATAAATGGCTAAACAGAACAACTGAGGGGAGGCTGCAAAAAACCCCAAACATTTATTTATAGAACATTTCTTGCCATGAATGTTTAAACCATTACTTTATCTGTTAATTAATGCTAATTCCTTTTTGCGTAAGCAATTAGCAAATCTAACAGGGCCGGTATAGTACATCTGCACACCTATATCCTGACCAGCTCTCTTTTAATCACTTGCCAGATTGCAGTTCCATGCCTCTATGGCAATCAGACCTACTGTTGTGGTCTGCTCAAAGTCAGACTTCTCAGAAAGAGTTAGCATCTGTATCTTTATATAAAAACTATGTACAGTGCAACTGAGCAGAATGTTTTTGGTTTTTTTTTTTTTTACACACACACAAAAACATGTTTATACTGGCAACTGAGCAGAATGGTTTTTTTACACACACACAAAAACATGTTTATACTAATTTTTTTCAGCCAATACAGAAGATGCTGTGTGCATCAGCAGACAGGGAAAGAAAAAACAAATATCCCTAACCAATGCTACAAGATCAAGTTTTTCCTGCATCCTGAAAAAGACTCAAAAATGTGCTTAAAACCACTGAAAATTTTTCAAGTGAAAATTGAATACGCTAACTGGAATTGTCTTGCCAAATTCAAACCCCATTTAAACATAGCAAGAAATCTTGAATTATTGAAGAGCATTAAAGCATAAGTTTCTATCCTTGTTACACATAGTTAAATTTGAGTGCCTTGTTTTGACACTTTATTCTCGGGAAATACTCTCAAATAAAAAAAAGTATTTGTTCGATGTAAGACTTCTAAGGTGGAGCTGGCCTCTGTGTTCTGAAGCTATTGCTGCATTTACCATCATGAAATAAGTCTTTTAACAGAGCTGCATAGGACAGCTCACTTCAGTGTTTTCCAAAACCTTCATTTTTCACACGAAGTTCAAACTGGAACTCTTGTTTTCCCTCCATATGCTTCATAGTAATCAAGACCTACTATGTACTTTTTAGACTATCTGTGGGTTTTTGGTAGGCAGATTACTCACTGAGGTATTCACTAATTAAGTTTTTTGTTTTGGTAAAAGTTCTTAAGTTCTTTCATCCCCTTTCTAGCTCATGTTAACCAGCTCCTCCCCTTGCCCCCCCCCCCCCCGCTTGAACAACAAGCCCAAATACGACTTCCGCAGGAAGCCTGCACGAGACACTACCGAGACAGCTTCAAGGACAGAACACCTGCCATTTCCCACTTCACAAAGAGAAGATTTTAAGTTGCAGCATGACCTCCAGCATGCACATATAACACCTACAACTCACCCATCACTCTTTGTGAATACAGAAAATTATCACAGAAGGACCATTATGGATGTACAAGAGAAATACATAGAGATCCAAACAAGATAGTAAAATATGAATTACATGGAAGTCGACAATCTTCTCCTTCCCTGACCCTCCCTCATCCACACCTCCTCGAGTTTTATAAAGCCTGGTGCCTTACACTGCACAAAACATCGTTCCAGTTGTTCACGCAAGTGTTTTCAGCAGCTATGACTCCAAGACAAAGTCATCAGCGTCAAATAAACAAAATCACCAGGAAGGTGAGAGCACCATGTTTGTAAGCTTAGAAATACAAACTTTTGCCTCAGTTGTACTGATACCGGCAGCTGCATTTTATGTATATCCCATTTTCCAGCAAAACAGTGCAAGCAAAAATCTTTGGTTAGCAAAGCAGAAATACTGCACGAACTGCAACTTCATCAACAAATTTCAGAACGTCATTTCAGTGAGGCATGCGCTGTTAAAGAGAGCCCAGGTTTCTACCTTTCAAGCCAACTAGACTTTAAAGTAAGTTCACTTTCATAGTTTCAAACCAGAACAAACCATGTCCAAACTACATATTCAAATTTTTATAAAAATTAAGGTTTAACATTTATTTTACATCTAGCTTTCCACATCCATGTGGGGACAAGGAATCAGAATGTACATAACTATAAGCAGTGCAAAAGTGGTGCCAGTGCGAAGTCACAGATGCACAATAAAGTGGTAGTACAAGACTAGAGAAAAATGAAGCTATGGATGTTAAGAATGGAGACCAAAAAAAAAAAAAACCAAACAAGATAAAAAAAAAATGAAGGAAAAGGGCAGGAAAGAGAAGAGCCGGATGTTTAATAATGCCCTTGTTGCTGCAAAGATAAACTAATGGCACAAGACAATGTTTCTTGTAGAACAAAAATCCAAGAGCAATGAGTCTTTATTCACGTTTAGTCACCTGACATGAGAAAGTGTCTGTTGCATTAAAATAGTCATCAATGTAAATGGCAGCATGGCTGAACAAGTCCTTTTCAATGGTAACGAACATCCCACATAGTAAAGTCACTTCAACACAGCCTCATGACAATTCCCACATCAAAACAGTACTTTATTTTATGTTTTGCCTCATCATTACTCCCACATTAAGATCTTTCAGCTGTCAAGTGTACAAGGTGAAGGAAAAGGTTCTCAGTCAGCAAACGCAGGTGCATCAGGAAGTATCTCCACAATACACCACTTCAGATCTGCTGGGTCCCAAGTCCATCCTTGAACGCTGGGCTCCCAGCACCAAGTGTAGCACACCACTACGGCTACACTACTATGTTAGCTTATTAATTCTGCATACATCAGGCCGAACAATGTGTCAACCTGCAACAGACTGAGCATTATAACTGAAAATGGCAAAAGATTCACTCTATTGAACTTTACATCATTATTTGATGTTAAACAATGAGGCAAATCCCAACAGTATATACAAAAACCAGCTTCGCTTTTACAAAAGATTTTGTTTCCCATATTGATTAATCCAGGCAGCTAACTCATTGGTTTATGCAACTTTATTGAAGAAAATAAATCAATTACTAGTAGAGCTATTAGTTGATCACTCATCCATTGACAACTTGCATCATTTATTCAGTGCTATATTAAACAGTGTTTTGGAAGACAGATTAACTAATAGCTCCAAGCCTCCTAACAAAATTTAAATGAATTACAAAAATGTTCTTCGACCCTATTTTGGAATACAAGGGATGTTTGACTTCCAATTTCCATTCTCTGTAAAACAAGAACTGGTCATTCCTTTATTGACATGCATAAGATACATCACATTTTCTGTTCTGCTGATGCTATAGATTCAGTACCAATTCTCCAGACACATCAGTTATGAGCAAAAGTATATAATAAAACCTCAGTTCTCTAACACTGGAAGGTTTGGAACAAGATGGATGTTGCTACAGCAATGTTACTTCTTTGATGGAAGAAAATTGAACATCCATCTCCCCTCCCCCCCTTCAGGTGATATCTTCAGTATCTGTTAGAGCAGTGAGGAATGTTTGTTTTTAATCTCATAACCAAGTTAGAATGAAGACATTGGCCACATAATACACATGCTCCATTAAAAAAAAAAATCTGAATCTTGGGCAATTGTTCTTGTGTAACTACTTTACAGATTCTAAAAGCAGTTATTGTCCAAAGCTGGAAGAACTAAAGTCTTCTCAGATGAGCATGTGCATGAATGGAAGGAGGTAAACAAAAAAATAAAAAAAGATGAGGTCTGATAGGGGAGCAGCCGGATAAGAAAATCAAAAAAGGAACAGTAATTTAAAGTTTATTCCAGCTATAATGCAGGTTATTCTGACTTTAAGGTAGCATCACATGGCATACTTCTGAGTCCATTCCCGAGATATTCTGTTGTACCTGCAAACGAAACCAGGAACTGAATTAGCGTCAGCATGAAAATGACAATTTCCTAAACAGCTAATGATGAAGTTATCACTTTATCCCCATCTCCCTGTTCTCTCCACACTTCGAGAAGTCTCCTTCTACACTGTATCTTAGTGAAATGAAAAAACACTGAACAAATCCCTCCCTAGATTCACTAGGATATTCTCTAGTTTATATGAAACACTTCAAATTCAGGACAAGCAGATTTGCTAGGAGTCTGTTGTTAAAAACTACCGAAGGGGAAGGAAAAGAGACCACCTCGGGTGGGAGAGGCAAGGGGAGTGTTTTGTTCAAATAATGCCCTTCAATAAAGATTACAGAGTATCACATGCCATAAGTAAAGATTACTCGGTTAATAACATCATTGGATACAGAATGTCAGATTTTCCATTTTAGAGTAAAACAATGCTAAGTGTTTCTTCACACTTCATACTCCCTTTCCACATGAGTATACTGCTCAAACAATTTTTATAAAGGACATTAAAAGAATATTTAAGTACACTACTTCCACAGGAACTGAGCTGACAATTAGTTTATACTTAACTCCATGCTTGTCAGTAAGAAGTTAATTTTCAACTATACAAGCAGAACATAATCCCCGTACGTTTTCCTAGTTTATACATAGAAGACAGACACTGCTGAATAATAAAAAGTTGAAATTTGGATTGTCTAAATTCATCCACGTCTATGATGCATGAGGTCTTGCTACAGGGCATCACTTTTAACAAAATTCTGACAAAATCTGGGTAAATACTTACCAGAACAAGTGGACAAGCTGGCTCAAAACTCAACAATTATTTCATACTATTTTTATTTTTTTTTTGGCCATGCAAGAGCAGTATCTGTGAGAAATAGTGACTAGCCAATACATTTCACACTAACCACAGATCAAGCTGTTAAATATCCAAGTTCAGTAACTGGTGCATCCATTATCTGTTAGTTAATCCAGTGCCTTAGAGCATGCAGCACTCAAGTGCTGACAAGTTTCCACTTTGTTAAATGCACCGTAATGTGCAGATATTCTTACCCTACAGCATAGCGTATTTCTCTGTCCACTCTCTTGCTAACCTATTGTACCTAATTGGACAAGTATATTTAGCATTAATATATAGATATAAAACCCAAAGTCTTCATATAATTCTATCTGTGCAAAATGTTAAAAACACATAAGGAAAAAAAAAGTTTCAACACAGATAGGAAAAAAGTTATGAAGCCTTTTTTCAAGAGGAGCACCCAGCTGCTACCAAAAGAAAGCACCAAAGTAACAAAGTTACCTTTTCCTCAATATGAAGATCTAACTATGTTCTGTTTATGCATGGTAAGCAAAAAACTGGGCAATACATACTTTAAAATACACACGTGCCCACAACTGCAAAGATACTAAACCCCTTTGTTTTTAGATTATGCACTACCAAGAATAGGTACTACACTTTGACACACAAGTTCTCTCCATCCCAGATTTTCACAAAAGGCTCACTCGACACAGTTACTGCCTGACAATACACTCTTACAAAGTTCGTTGAAATATTAGTCTTACGCAACTCTGTACTTACTTGTCTCTGTCTGTTTTATAGATACGTGCAATCTCTGGCACTAGTGGGTCATCTGGATTTGGATCACATAACAGTGAACAAATGGATAAGAGAACTGTACCAAAAAAAAAAAAAAAAAAAAAAGAGAGAGAAAGAATTCTCAATAGCAAAACAGGAACAACAATCTCAGGAACAATGGAGCACAGATCTTTGCATTAACACAATGTCAGCACAGGAGAGAACCCAAAACGCCTTTTCCTGACATACTGCCAAAATACATTTTTAACCCACTCTAAATAAAAAATCCCAGAATGACTTAAAAGTTCATAAGAACTATTTGTTTCCATTTTTCCAATACTTACAGCTGTCAGTAAGCACACACCTGAACAGTGCTGTTGTCCCCTGCACTATGACGCAAAGTAGCACCCAACAAAAGCATGTTATTATGTATTCTGATGACCAGCATATTCCATGGTTTTAATCACTAAAACTAGAACTTCTTCAAATTAGTATTTTTTTTTAAAAACCAGACTGAATTCTTTCTCTGTTGTACATAAGGCAGCGATACCCTGATCTGCACTGATTACACACATGTGGTAAAATAAAGGAGTAATGCTGTTGTAGGCAGCTATGAAGACTTCATCCTCTACTCTCACAGCAGCTTTGAAAGAAAAACAATAGTGACAGTATTAAAAATGTAGGGAATCCACATTCAAATCACAAACCTACTCCTTGGACAGACAGGAATTACAAGTTCTACAGACAAAGGAGCACTTTGATGGATCTTCTGAAGCCACAGTGACCAGTGGCTTTGAGGCAAAACAAAATTTGATCATCATGAAAACATTTGATAATTAACTGTTATTTCCTGCAGTAAAATGAGGAAAGCTACAAAGCTTTTACTGCAGCACAACATCAATTTATCCTGAAGTAGAATCATCAAGCTTAGTTCATGAGGTAATGTAATACAACGCCAGTGCACAGCGGCAGAAAGCAACATGTACCAGTAACAGTCTTCCTTTATTCATCTACCACAGAGATATGCCAATATAACTCTGCATGTAATTCTAGACAGACTCAGTCGAAAAACTATGCAGATTTCATTATTAAAAACTGACTTTAAACTAATATTTAATTGAATATGCAAGCGTGCATCTACATGGACAGCCGCAAACAAGCAGTTTCTCAGCCTTAACTCACGCCTGTTTCAATGCAAATGCTGGCACATTCCCCTGGGACCAAGCTAGTAAGCTCTGCTACGGATATCGGATCAAAGAAGTGGCCAGACAGGGCCTTAAACAGCCATGAAGCAGAAGGTGTTAGAAAAAACAAATATCCATTAAAAAACGCAGTAAGATAGCATTAGCAAACTGGCAAAACACAGGCTATATAGAATGAGGAAAGCAAATCAAGAGATGGGTGAGAACTCAAGACAATCAAAGCTAAAAGCACAGTATTCAACACAAGATGGAAACATTTCTCTTTGATGAAAGTTACCTTTAGAAATAGTTAAAGCAGGAGACCACTGTGATCTTAGAATATCAAGACAAATGCTGCCATTACTGTTAATATTTGGATGATAGATTCTTGTTGTAAATGCAACCTGCAACAAAAAAAAAAATGTCAGGAGTGTGGTTTGGTCTACGACAACAATGATGTCACCCTTTCTTCTCAAGTCAAGCTATCAGTCAACTCCATTTACTCTCAAAGAAAAGGATTAAGGAGTTAAACTGCATCAAATTCATGGAAATGCACCCAAGCCACAACCTCTCAGCTTCCAGTTACCAGGCACTCTATTTCAAACAGTGAGAGGGCAAGTATGAGACTGTGTTTTAATCACAGGTGCCTGCATCATGATGAAGACACTCAACAGAAGTTACAGCAGTAACACTGCTATCACAGAGCTAAAGAACTTCAAACATCATGGTCACTCCATGTGTACTCTTTCATATTGACTGAAAATTGGAAGACAGTGCTAGTGGCTGATAAAGCTACAAAAAAAAAAAAAGTTTTTCACAATTACTGCCAAATTCTAACAGTTACCATCTTCATTGATTCTAGGCACCAAGCAAGTTAATCCCTATCCATAGTGTCACACTCCTATAGACCAACCCAAACAGCTACACTGGAACACTTGACAGTCCCCCTTAGCAAGAATTCTATTAGAGTGACACAAAGCTGATCAGTTTTCCTATCAATTAAGAAAACCAGAAATAAACCCAAACATCATTCCAAGACATTCAGAATTCACATATATGATTTTGCTCCTAAAATATATGCTAGCACACCCATTCTTGTGGTATTCAGAGAGGGAGCTAGCCATCTAATATACTGTAAGAATGCATGAAAAGAAGTGAGAACTTGACAACATTACAATACAAATGCTGATAATTTCTGCCCTATACTCAGTTCTTTAAAGACCACTAATGTCACAAATGAGAAAGCAATACTTACCTTAGGTGGTTTGAAAGGGTAGTCTGTAGGAAAGTGAATTGTCAAGAAGAATACACCACCCTGATATGGACTGTCATTCTGTCAAAGCAAACAAATAATTCTCCTGTTATCATCTTTAGGACTGAGTATCACCGAAGATGTTGTTTTTAAATAAATAAAAGGAGAGGAAATTTGTTTAAACAACTGAACTGTTTAATCCACCAATACAAGAGAGATGAAATTAAAATTCAGTTACTGCTTCCTAAGGTAAGCAATACAGAACACACACAAGTCACTTTCTGTATGGACCTCTCCCAACTAATGCTTCATAGAAAACAACTTCTCTGACAATCTACCCAGGACAACTTGGCAAAAGCATCCAAATGCCTCTGAGACAGCTCCAAGTAGCAAATACCCTCAAGTTCTGTGTTTGAAGCTTATTTGTTATGAGTTCCCATGGACAACTCTAAGGGCCCCCAATTCCCTCCTAAGTTCTGCCCTTGGCTTAGGTGTTGCTCAGCCCTGCAGAAAACCTACAAATGCACAGCTAACTCCTTGTTCCTTGCAAGAAAACCTACACCAAACCCAAACCAAAACACCCCCCACCTTACCAGCACCACCAAACAAAAAAAAACCACCACTGAAATGAAAGTGAATTCTTCCTCCCTCAAAATAATCTATTGGGAAAGAGTGTTTTACATTTCCCTGTTCCAAGGAAACAATTATGGGGATAATTCATTCAGACGTTAACTATTAGCAGTAAAGCAACATGTGGAAGTTAAAAGGCTGATAGTAAGCAAAGAATAAATGGAGTGACTAAATAAGGATTGTGTAAGCTACTAGTTAGGAGAAGAAAGATGTGAGAAGGTTTTACTTGAAACTACAACTAAATTTCTGAAATAGAACTATTTCATTGTTTAACCTGAAGACTACAATGCTTTTAATTCCAGATTCAGAGCTAGGGAAAATGAATTTGAGACACACAGAGTACTCTTCTGAATTATTTGTAAATTGAATTTTCATATTAATTGCAAGAACATTTCACCAATGTAAGGAAATAACTACATCTTTCTTAGTTAAATACCAGAAAATTAAATTCTGCAACATGAGACAAGGGACTCAAACCTGGAAACATATAGGTTATACCCTATCCAATCTGCTGAAAACCTAGCAATCAAGATACAACCTCCTGTATTTCATCAATAGATACTATGTGAGGCCTTGAGGAGCCAGAAAGCAATCCTTCTACTGCACATACTCTGGGGATGCATTTTAGCAACTGCAGAAATCCCTCTTAGAATGTGTTAAACCAATGCAAGCTCTCTTACATCTGAGAAAATCACAGCCTGTACCCTATCCTGTTGCAGAGGTGGTAGGCTGGATGACTGGTTCTACAATCTTCATCTGTTATTAAAAGCACTAAGCAACACCACAGGAGCACTAAAACTACTAGCAACACCCTTCTGTCAGGATACTGCCCAATCTTTTAACAGGAATGCAGACTGTTCGACACCACAAAAATCATATGGGAAAAACAAGCGAAGGAGGCGAAAAATAATCCCAATTTAAATTTAACTGATGTTCAATACCTTATGACCATGTAGACACCAGCCACATAAAATCATAGTCAGCATAGTACAGTGCAGAACACTCCTTGCCATTTAAGCATAGATATTGCTATTAAACAGTTTTATCTTTTTGAGGCACCTAGTTACAATCAATAAAGACCAGCGACTTCAGAATGGAGAGTCATTTCTTCTAGTCAGGTGAACCTCTAATAAGCACATTTTCCACAGTGATCTCCTAAAACCACACTTGTAGCTATATAAAGTCAGGGCAATTCAGCATCACTGATATTGAATTCCTATTCTGTACCCTCACCAGAAGCACTGCCATTACGGCTGCAGGTCTACTGGCATCCAATATTTGTCTTCTCAAGTTACAGAAGGTTTTGTTTTCTAAATATAGATAACCAGCCCTGAGAACTCCAGATGTCAAGAGCCTGCAGGTTATGTTTTCAGTATAGGCAAACATTTGCTTTCTTTACTCTAACAAGGAAAAAGTCACATTCAGGTTTCGGGTGCTTATTGAACATTTAACACACACTTTTTTCCTCCAGTCATAACTGGAACCTCACATTTCAGTGACTTTTTCCCTTCTATTCCTAAAAGCATTCAAGATCTCAGTACATGACACCAGACCAAATAAGGATTCCCTGTTCTGTTCTAAGATCCACACAAAAGCATCCCAACTAATTTCTGACACTGGGACCAGCTCCCAGTACAAAGTTCATGCTAGATTCAAACTTGAGAAAGTCAAATGTAAACAAAGTTTCTTGATATTACGTGATAATGCCTAATATTGCTCTAGATATCACTTCAGCTGAAATACATGTCCTTATAAAACATTCCTGCAATAAAATAGTAACCAGACTGATTTTTTACCCCTCCTTCATCTTCTGTTACTGTAAGGAATACCTCTAGAACTAAAGCCTGATAAGGGGAGTTAAAGTAAAGCAAAACACCCTCCTGAATAAGAACTACTAGTTTAATATTATGTCACAAGAATTAGAATACTTACAGGTCCCATAATTGTGGCTTGCCAATGAAACACTACAAAAGAAAAACTCCGCATTATTATCTATGCATGATATGCTTTGAGTTAGCAGAGCAAAATGTAAAACTTAAGGTTACTTACTGTCATCTCCAACGGGACCTGCTGGCTGGAGGATCACGGGCTAAGTCACTAAGTTCCTTTAGGAAAACAAACAAACAAACAAACAAAAAAAATCTGTTCAGAGAAGGAATGCTAATCAACTCCAGTCATTTTCACTTCAGAACCAGCAAAAACAATTTTTCCGTATACAAACACAGAAGACTGTGCAATAACTACTAGAGCCATTAGATCAGTATCAAAAATGCCTTTATAAATGAACACAAAAACCAGCTATGAAGGTAAACAGCTACCATGACTATGCTTTTCCAAATAAATACCACTACTGTAGAGACACCCCTGCTGAAGAAGGGACAGAAAGGAAAGCGCAGAGCCTGAAGCAGGCAAAGTCTAACCACTTTGTGGTCAAGATTTTCAAGGATTCAGTCTTAGCTAGAGAAGCCCGAAGTGGGAAGATAGAAAGCTATTGATGAGTCCTCACTATGTATGTAACATCTGATATCAAAACCCAGAACAGAAAGGGGGAAAAAAAAAAAACCCAAAAAAAAAAAAAAAAAACAACAACAAAAAAAAAAACCACACACCACCAAAAAAGCCCAACACAGAAACTCAGTTTCATTCTCCCCACTACCTCCAGCAGGGGAGGTGTATCTTGCATAGATTAAAGTAGACAGGGGAATTGAAGGGGCTAACAAGTATTGGAATCAGGAAAAATATGTTAGTTTTTGTTTTAAACTTCACATTTAAGGCAATTATGCCCTTAAAATTCTGAGTAACTGAGCTGCAGAAACAATTCCTTCTCTCCCCCATTACAGAGGAAATGAAAACAGAAACTTCAGATGGAGGAGTCCTTGCGTAGCATCAAGATTTCTGCCATGTATCAAAGCAGCTCAGCATTGATTTGTTTAAAAGCTCCACAAGTTACTTGTTCAGACACTGTCTTTTAAAATTAAATGTATACTTTCAATTCAAGTATGTAACAGATACCTTCCCTCTTCCCTGCTCTCCTTTCAATCTAAAAATGGCTTCAGGAACTTCTATAAATCTGCACTTGTCAAGGCATCTAGAAGTCATGAGAAAAGGGAAAACCTTCAGTCCCTCTCCCATATATTAACAGTTGCACACAAGTTACTTTGCTACAAGTCTATACAAGCCATTAAAACAAGAACTTTCCATTACTTTGTCAGACATATAAGAAATCCAGGCATACTTATTGTGCTGGAAACAGATGCATATTTGGACCAGGCAGCTAATTGTTTTGCCTGGGAAGATCCTAATGAACATCCTTTAAGTTTCACAAATTCTGCACTTGACAAAAATTTAGTAAGTGTAAGCCAACACAAAGTGAGGAAAGAACAACTATGTTCCCTGTAACTTAAACAACTTGTTCTTTGGTAAGATGGTAGTTCCTGCAAATACAGGGGACATAACACTACTTCAATGTGTAGAAGTCCATACATTCCAGAAAAAAACAAAACCTACACCAAAAAAACCCCACCAAACCACCAACCAACCAAAACAAACCCCAAAAAACACCAAGAAAACTTATGTCCCGCATTTCCGCTCCCTACATGCTACTATTGACAAACTTTCCAATTAACCAGATTTCAGTTTTGCACTGGGATCAGATTGTTCTGTAAACCCAAACTGCATCAGTTTTGATAAGCAACAGCACAATATTACAGCTCGTTTCACTGCTGCCATTATTTAGAAGTGTGGGCAACAGCTCTTTCCAGATCATCACAGTAAATCCATTTAGAGGGCATTGCTCTACATTCCCCAGTTATTATTGGGGGTCTTTGCGATAGACTTATTCCTATGTGTGATGAAATCTGTAAGTGATGAAATATCACTTATTAGCTCCATAAGTTGTTCAGCACCGTCCAGAAAAAATTACTAAGTTAAATTTATATTATTCATGTAAAGGCAAACAAGAAACGTAGAAGAACCTTCAGATAGAAAGCTTTTTTTTTATTTTCAGGGTGGGGTTTTTTTCCATTTATCAAATGCAACAGATTTTGTTAATCAGGCTTATTTCTCATCTAAATATATTTTCCAGTTCTAAGAACTATCAACCATTTCCAAAATCTGAGAGAAGAAAATTTTTGTCCCTTAAAATAAGCTGTAACAATAGAATAAGCAGAAAGACACAAATGTTACTATTTTACTGTAGTTGTGTAGTTATTACTGGATTATTTGATTGAATCGGGGAAAATTATCAGATCCTATTTTTTTTTTAAACTGTCACAAAGACTAAAAACTATGAAAAGGCTCTTCATACAATTTATAAAAATTATAAAAATGAGTAGCATGAAGACAAGGACAAGAAAAAGTCAGCATAAAGTGGACTGTCAGAGGTATGTGCATTAGACTAGAGAGCTCTTCAAAAGGTACTACTATCTTAAGAGAAACAAGAAATCAGTACTCAAGATAAAAATAAGGTATTTTAACACAGCAGGAAAATTAGAGTATATCAGTAACCCAACCAGGAAAAGCAAACATAAGTAGGATTGCAAATGTAAGACAAATACTAAATTTAGTTAAGTTCCAGTGAAAGAATTGTGCAAAAAAACCCTTCAGTAATATTAGGAATTGTTTACAAGATGAAACACATGAGTTTTAATATTCCAGTCCCCGGCTGTTTCAAAATACACATCCATAGAGTTATCCCTTTTAACTACTTGAACTGTTCTAGATAACAAATAAGCAGTGATTTTCGTAAACTAAAGGACTAAAGTTTTTTCTGGCCCAAAATACTTCGGTAAAAAAACCTAATTGTGCTAAACAAGCAGTTCAAAAAAGAGATAAGGTTAGGAACAGAGGATACACCACTTAGTATTTCAACCACAGAGCAAGTAATTTACCCACTAAATTCAGAAAGAAAAAAAAAAAACCGAGGTGGCACACATTCCTGTATTTGCTTCTCCTGGGTACTATGGTCAGAAGAGTAAAGTTTGTAGTAAAGCTGTCTGCTTCAGCAGAGCGTGTCATGGGACGACTTGGGCAAACACAAAACACACTGGCAAGCTTTGCCTGCTTACAGTAATACCAGACCTATTTTGCCTCCCTGTTAAGCGCGCAACACTTCACATCTATGCAAAAGGAGGGAGACTTTTTGCAACACGGGAGCAGGAAGTTCTCTCTGTGTAACTTTAAAAAGTGCCTCCTTCTGAAAGCTACAACTCTGCTGAATCCAACAGGCAAACTGGAATAACTGGAAACTAAACAAGCAGAGGCACATGGGCTGCGATATCTGGAGTGCAGTTGAAGCATTTCATTCAAGGAAAGGGAGGAGGGGTTTTGGTTTTGTGTTTGGGTTTTTTTTTTGGGTTTTTTTGTTTTGTTTTTTTTTAAAAGCTTCCCACTCAGCAGCAGAAACACCAACTGACCTTCCTTCTAGCTTAGCAATCAAGAGCAACTATTCTGTAACAGGAAAACATTTAATCTGAAAAATATTTCTGACATCAAAACGCAGCTTCGTCATTTCCATCAGACAATTAAAAAAGCTTTTTTAAAAAAAATCAGCTCACAAGTCTTCCCCTGCTTTCACCCATTTCTCACCAAGAAGGTAAAGACCACGCTAAGTTTCATTTTACAAAGCAGAGTTTAACAAGTATTTTTAGAATTAATAATTAATTAATAGAACTAATATTTCAGAATTAAAAAAGATGTTCCCATGCATTGTTCTGAAAAATTTCTACATGTAAGGGCTTTACTCTTCTAATACTTCTGCTGCTGTAATACTTAGTGTCTCCAACTTGGCTTCTTTTTGTTTACATTGTTTCAGTACTGCTTTCCTTTGTCAAGAGGTATTAAGCTATGTCCCAAATTTTCTTAAAAATCCCCGAAGTAGAACCCACATTTTCCTGGAGTCAGCTGCTATAGTATTTCACTGTCCAGGTGGCTTAAGGAAAAAAAAAAAATCCCAAGAAGCAAATTCCAAACACTTTACATAGAAACAATAAGCCAAAGTTGTTTCAGAGTGATGTGTTATATGCCTATCGGAAAGGATTAGTCTTGAATTACAACCGTGACTAGTAGTCTCTGGCACTGCCAGAGGTTTCCGGTATAGCTCCAGCATATCACCATTTCTGTGTCCCAGTTTCCAAATATAAAGTTGTGATAGTTCCTACCTCTCCACGAGGATGATTAGTCACTTAGCATTTTACAGATTTAAACACTGTTTAAGGACTAAGGGCCAACGCTACTGTTAGAGGACAACGGCAATGTAGCATATACAAGAAGCAGTACATGTTCAATTCTGTAATGGAAAAGTGAGAGATAACAGCCAATACAGCAATGGTACTCCTCACTGCAGACAGACAGACCTGCTTTCATACAAATTCAGCACCATGGTGTTCTGCCAGCTTCACATTAAGTCTGTAGCAAAATATAATTTTATTGGTGAAACAGTTCCATTCCTAATCTTCTCTCTTCTCTTTCTCTACAAATTAATCAAAAAGCTACCCAAGAAAATAAACCAGTATTTTCAAGAAAAAAAAAAAGCTCATAAAGCTAACTGATTTGCTTGCTTTGCACAAATATAATCATAACTAACATAGAAAATATGGTTTATGCTTCAAGTGATGATCCAAAACATTGACATAAGAGTGTGAATGCAGGACTATGACCCTATTATAAACCACAAGCATCTGGTTTTGGTTTGATTTTTTGTTTTGGTTTTGAGGTGGTTTGTTTGGGATTTTTTTGACACACACACCCCACCCCCCCCCAACCAACTCCTCTCTACCAGCTATTTAAAAGATTACAGAAGTCATTTAAAGGATGAAAAAAACCTAGAGAATGACGAAGGATACCTCATCCAAATATGCATGAGCAAGACAGCGAAGGAAAATGTTTAAAGGAACGAGTTGCTTTTCTCACGGAAGCTTTCAGGTCTCAGCAAATTCAGTAAGAAATGACAGCCTGATGCCTACCAAGCCACCTGCTTGCAAGGTACCAAGTGGAGCATCAGTGTTGGCTCCTTTTCTTCCCATTTGTCAGAATTCATACTCCCTGTGGCACAACTGCTACATTTTTCTAGTTTAAGCTGGAAATAGCCAGGGCTTATTTTTAATCA